TTTTAGTGTCGTTCCCCCCCCCCCCCATGCAGTGCCCTGAGGGCAGGGACCACGGCAGCCTTCTCTGTGCTTGGAACAATTCTTGTCACACAGGAGTGCCCAGTATTTGTTGAAAGAGTAAATGTAATTAAGAAGGCTTACAATGTAACTGAAATGCTCTTACATTTTAAGTTTGGATGGGAATACCAATTTCATTTGATTTTGCTGGATTGTGTTAGAAATAACCAGAATGGGACTGCACATGGGGCAAGGTTGGCTGGATGGCTCTAGCTACCCAAGTTATGTCATAGCTCTACAAATACATGTTCAAGTTCCAACTTCCAGTACCTTGGAATGTGATCTTATTTGGAAATGCTGATGTTTCTTGACATATCGTGTGATTGCATTCTCTTAAACCACCATAAATCAAGAATTCCGTAAGTCAAAATGCATTTAATGCCCTGGTAAACCCATCATAAGGTAAAATAATTGTAAGCCAGGTTGGGGACTATCTGTAGTGTTGTTGCAGTATACTTATTTAAGATAAGGTCATACTGAAACAGGGTGGGCTCTAATTCATGGTGGCTGATGTTCTTATAAGAGGGGAAGAAGGGGGGCCAGCAGGTGGTGGTGTGGTGGTTAAGGGCGCTGGACTCCCACATGGCTGACCATAGTTTGAGTCCCAGACCTGGTGGCTTGTTTTCTCACTTTCCTCTCTCTCTCTCTTTGTGTCTCTCTCTCTGGTCAAATTAAAATAAATGAATGAATAAATAAAATAAAATAAATAATTATAAAAAAGAGGAGGAGAAGACACATGGGGGAAGATGGCCATTGTGGTGATAGAGAGACTGCAGTATGTATCTGTGAGCCAAGGATTGCTGACCAATAGTATTTGTACCGTTGTAGGACAACTTCTCAGGGAAGAGTGGAAGACAGGAAATCCCCACTACTGGAAGCATGAGAGACATAGCATTCCACTCTCACAAAGGTAAAAAAATCTCCTTCAGATAGACCCTCTGGCAAAGGTTAAGGAGAAAACTCTTGCTCTTCAGTCTTGAGAATAAATTTGGAAAGGTAATACATGTACATTTCTCTTCTTTGGAGCTCTATCTTCCCATTGAATGAATCAAGGCTATTCTCACATCTGCATGTGTCTGTACTGCTTATGTATCTTTTAAACAAATGTGTTTCCTCTTCACAGATTGAGTACTTTGCACCAAAGTATTTCAGCTGCTGCGGTTTGCTCTTCTTTCTCTTTCAATTTAGAAGGCTAACTCAATTATCTCATTTATTTGACAGAATTCACATCAAATGAAGACGATATGAGGCCAGGATTTTGTTTTCCCTGTTGCTAAGGTGGCGGGAAAACAGCAGCAGTGATAAGTAGCTGTAATTGCTCCAACCTTTGCCAAGGTTAACGCTCTCAAGGTGTCTTGAATATAAATGCTTGTTCCTGATGTTTCCCAATTATTTTCACTTAAAAGAAATACTTTAATATATTTAGTTCAAATTGCATGATGGTAATTATGCTTCTAAATCTGATTAAGTGGCATGATAGAAGAAACCTTTGCTTCCATGAGGGGATATTTGTTGTTCAATAGATGGGTCTAATTTTCCATAGTAGGAGGATTCATATTATAAGCATGGAGACTGCCTTCTTTCATTAGTTATTTATAAAGTTCTTATTAGACTGCTTAAATTCACACAGGAGAAAAAGATAAGTTATTGTTAATCAATTTCTAATCTAATCTATCCATTACTTAGGTGATAGAAAACTATGCTCTCCAATGGGACTTTTATTCAGATTGCAAATCTTTGTCATGTCATATATTAGTTAATAAATAGAACATTTTAGCCTCTTAAAATTAGCATCTGGATTTATATAAGTTATGTCATTCCTATCCTCAAAAATCCAATCATAATTTTTCATTCCATAGTAAACAAAAACAATCTCTAGATTGAAATTGTTTTGTAAAGAATTATTTTATTTAAATTTGACCAGGGAAGAGTACATATAGAGAGAAAGTGAGAAAGCAAGCTGCCAGGTCCCGGACTCAAACCACAGCTGGTCATGTGGGAGTCTAGCACTCTTAACTACCATGCCACCTGCTGGCCCCCTCTATATTGGAATTTAAGTGTTCTCCCACATCACAATATAACCAGTTTGGCAGATGTTAATGTTTCTCAGCAATATTTTCAATTGCTTCTTCCCAAGAGCTCACAGTATCTTGCCCCTTTGAAGGTATTAGATGTAGCCAAATGACTTATGAAATCTTAGTGGAACTGATATGTATAATATGAGACCGAAGCTTTTATTGCTCATGTTCAACTCTCCATCCCTCATTCACTCCTGCTTCAGTGGCTGTGTCATTCAAGACGCCATTGTCACCAGCTGACCCCTGGATAAGAATAAAGGAGTCCCTTGCCAACCCTAATGAGCATATCTTAGGAGTACGAAGTAAATCTTGGTTGTCTCAAGCCATTACAATTTTGAGATTGTTATTGCGACAGACTTTAGTCTATACTGATTAATACATCAAGGCTTTTCTTTTGGAAATGTTAGTAGCCAAATTCTATTTTCAAGTGAAATCTTACATGGAACACACACACACACACACACACACACACACTAAAAACAAAGGGAGTCTTGTTGAGGGGCAAGAGGGGATGAGTGTGGGGAATGGTGGGGGAGGACTAGCATCCACCTCTCCTACAGAAGCCCCTAACGGTGCTCTGCAATCTCCTACTATTTCTTGGAACGTAGTGATCTAATTCGAAAGCCACATCTGCTGGCCTGTGAGCATGCATGTTTGGCTTCATTTTTTCCCACAGAGTGTTTTAGAAGAATCTAAGACAATGTTGAAAGACTGGGAGATTACACACACAATCTGGACTCCAAACTTCCCTAGGCAAAGGGAAGAGTTAGGACTCACTGGTCCCCACTGCTCCAGTGCCAGAGCCTTACCAGGTGCCACTTGTCACTTCAGTGACATGTCTGTTGTACTCAGAGAAATACTTCTCTGTTCCATATCTTTACCAAAAGTATGAAATATACACAGAAGGGACTGTATTTTTCTCACAGTCAAATAAGGAGTGCATACCTTTGTGGTGTGTGTAATACTCCCAAGTATTGAAGAGAAAGCTGTTTGTCAATGGCTTACACTCGCCATTGCACTTGTGTGACTTACAGGATCTCCATTCTGCAGTCTCTTCCCGCCCCTTCCATGTGACCCTGTGGTTTGATTTCTGAGCATGTGGTCCCTGAACCACCCAGGTCCAAGTCAGCTAGAACACTCATGAGAAATGCAGTTGTGAGTCTCCCTTCAGACCTACTAAGTCAAAGTTATAGTGGCTTCTACACTCTTCATAGGCATTGCTTTCCACCAGATAGTTCGGAGGCACAATTAAGATAGAGAATTCCTGATCTACGGCCGGTAAACTCACATATTCAGAACCCCAAGGTCTACGGACTGGAAAACAATGTTTATTCTTGTCCACGTTTAAGAGACTACTCAGAGGTAGAGATCAGATGCCAACACTTGATTTCTGAAATGCTGTCTAGAAACAGTACAACATTTGAAGCTGAACTGGGCACCGAGATGTCCCCTGAATGTACTCTCATCTTTCTCCATCCTCACTCTCGTTCATGCTGTTCTTCTGACGAAGTCCTTCCCCTGGGTCCTTATTGAAACTGCACTCCTCTTCAGGATATAGCTCAAGTGTTAATGAAAATGAGTGATTCCTTACTGTCATCTAAATTCAATCATGTCACAACCATCTTTATAATTAATTAACTAAATTTATTGCCAAAGGGTACATGTGCTCACCAGTGTGGTCAAACTATAACCCTTCTTTCCCTCCATTTCTCCATGTGTCTGGACTTTAGGCATGTCCGCTCATGTGGTTGGAGTATTTTTCAAGCCACTGGGGCTAGAATTTGAAACTCAGTTGGCCATGTGGGATGCAGCTCCCAAAACATAGTGCTTAAAAACTGCAGTATGGGGCGAGCCCTATTTTTTATTAATTTTATTTTTGTTAGTTTATCTATTTTGAGACAGAGAGCAAGCCCTTAACAGAGCCCTGATGCTGCGACATACCTCAAGCCTTCAGCCGGCCTGGATCGCAGGCACACAGGTGCTTGGTGTACTCAGGACGGTCTTCAGACTTGAACTGGGCGCACGGCCATAAAGGGCCGCCACACAGAACCGGGCACACGGCCATTAAGGGCCACCTCACAGAACTTTGTGTTTTAACAGGCACCACTGTTTGGTCCTTAATTTTTTTTTTAATTTTAAAATTTTTATTTAATTTTAGGTTTTGCTGTAGGGTGTGTACGCTTGTTAGAGAGAGAAACAGAGACAGAGAAAGAGAGAGAAAGTGAGAAATCACCCCCTGGGGGGATGGCTACACTGCAATCCCTTCTCCTCTTCTATCCTCTGGGATTTGGGCATACACACATATGCACCTGGAGTGTTTTTTGAGTTGCTGGGTCCAGAACAAACTGCTCAGTCATCCAGGTGGGGTCTGGCTGCTTTAACCACCATGGTATGCCACTGGCTGGCTCCCCGAAATTAGCTTTTTAAATAGATTTTGTTTTTATAGGGCAGTTTTAGGTTCACAGCAAAATTGAACAGAAAGTACAGAGATTTCACAGACACCGTGCTCCCACCCAGGCAGAGCCTCCTCTCCCAGGAACATCCCTCACCAGAGCGGCACAATCGATGAACTACGGTGACGTCATCGTCCAAAGGCCACAGTTATCAGGCTCACTCTTGGTGCTGTCCAGTCCGTGGGTGTGGGCAAATGCCCAGTGCCACGTGTCGACCACTGCAGTGCCGACCGGAGGAGTTTCACTGCCTACCTGCCATCTGTGCTCCAGTTGCTCACCCCTCCTCCTCTCTCAGGTCAGACAACCACTGACCCTTCCACCGTCTCCAAGGGTTTGTCTTTTCTAAAATGTTGTGCAGTAGTCCCCCCTTGTCTGCATTTCCTCTTTGTGTGGTTTCAACCATCTATGCCCAACTGTAGTCCAAGATGGAAAATTCCAGAAATAAATAATTCATAAGTTCTAAATTGCATGAGCTGTTCTGAGAAGCATGATGAGATTGGGTTCCATCCTGCTGTGTCCACCTGGGATGTGACTCATCCCTACGTCAGTGCTTCCACGCTGTGTACCCTCCCCGCCCCTTGGTCACTTAGGAGCTGTTTTGGTTACCAGATCAAAAAGCAGGGTGTATATACAGAGATAGTTCTCTCTGTGGTTTTTCAGGCATCCTCTGGGGGTCTTGGAATGCACTTCCCTGAATGAGGAAATACAATATAGCCGGACCCATGCTGTGCCATGCCTTTTCAGATTGGCGGCTTTCACTTGATAACGTGTGCTTCAGGTTTCGCTGCTCATGGCTGGGTAGCTCATTTATTTTTAGCACTGAGTCACATCCATTGTCTGGAAGTATCAATTTGCTTATCCATTCTCTAACTGAAGAATTATCTTGGTTGCTTCCAAGTATTTTTTCAAGAATGTATTATTATTATTTACTGTGCTATAAAGGGCACGAGCACTAACAGTGAGAGACAGAGGTGGGGTGGTGGGGGGGAGTGAGAAAGCATGTTGCCAGGTCCAAGACTCGAACATTGTCCATGTAGGAGTCCAGCACCTTAAACCACCATGCCACCTGCTGGGCCCTGTTTCCAAGTTTTGGCAATTGTGTATAAGGCTACTATAAATATCTCTATGAAGGTTTAGGTGTGTAAATGAGTTTTCAACTATTTTGGGTAAATATCAGAGAGACAGATTACTGCTTCTCGTGAGAATATGTGTGGTGTTAGGAGAAACTGCCCAGCTGTCTTCTGAAGTGACCATACCATTTTGCACCTCCACCAGCAGTGATGGGAGCTCCTGCTGCTCTGTAACATCTCCAGCACTGGCTGTTACCAGTGCTTTGGGTTTTTGTCATTCCACTAGGTGTGTGCAGGTGTCTCATTTTAATTTGCAATCGTCAAGTGACATTATGTTGAACATCTTTTCATGTAATTATTTGCTACCTGTATATCTTTTTTGTTGAGGTTTCTGTTCAGATCTTTTGCCTGTTTTAAAGATCTGGTTGTGGGACCAGCAGTTAGCATAATGGCTGTGTCTCTGGACTCCCATGTAGGCGACCATGGTTCGAGTCCTGGACCCGGTGGCTTAAAACTCACACCGGGCACGTGTGCGTGAGTGCCCAAGATCCCGAGAGGAGGAGTACAGAGAAGAGATTGCGGTGTGGCTATCCCCCCTGGGGGGTGATTTCTCACTTTCTGTCTCTCTGTCTCTCTCTGTCTGTCTGGCGAGCACACGTGCCCTATAGCAAAAACCTCTCCAAAAAAAAAAAAAATCTGGTTGTTAGTTTTCTTATTGTTAGCTTTCAAGGACTCTTTAGCTTTTTTTGTTTGTTTGTTTGTTTGTTTTTTTGAGAGATTGTTGCTATAGGGCACATGCACTTGTCAGAGAGACAGAGAGAGATGGAGATAGAAAGGGAGACATCACCCCCTAGGGAAGATGGCCACGCAGCCATCTAGGTCTTTATCAGATATGTCTTTTATTTTATTCTAGTCCATAGAAAGTCATTAAAAAAATCTTTAAAAAAGTGTTTCTTTCATGAACAAGAGACAGAGATAGAGGGTGAGAGAGTGAGAGAGAGACTGCACTCAACCCTAACAAGGTCTTGATGCTGTGACCCCCCAGCCCCAGCCAGCCCCGGAGCACGGCACGCGCATGCCTGGCACATACAAGATGTGGATGCAAACTGGGGCCATGTGGGTCAGCCTCACAGAGAGCTGCGCTTTACTGCAGTGCCAACATCCAGCTCTGGGACAAAAAGCCACCTTTTTATGGTTGGTTTGTTTGAAAGAATCAAGGATCCTGTTCCCAACATGATCCAGATGTACACATGGTTGTTTGTCTCCGGCCACTTTCATTTGTAACTGTGTCGTCTTCCTTCAGTTTTCAATTTCATGCTTTTGATATGCCGGAGAAACTGGTCGTTGTCCCACCTAGAATCTCACGTTATGAATTTATCCAAGGGCCATCAGCTTTCTGAGTGCTGCCCTTGGCTGGTGTGAGTCTGTAAACCAAGGGTACAGTGCCGGCAGGCAGTTCCTCGGACCACCACAGCACCGTCCTGAGCCACGCCCTTACGAAGGACACGACGCCATGTTTATAAAGTATATCGCGCTGGGGAATGCTGTCAGTGACGGGGACAGTTTGCATGTTTCAATTATCAGCCATGTGAGACACTAGTACCTTCATTATCCAATCTGGGCATAAAATTGCCTTTTTACAAGTTATATTAAAAACTGCTTTCCTGGGCCAGCAGATGGCATAATGGTTAGGGCACTGGACTCCCACATGGTTGACCACATGTGGTCTCGGGCCTGGTGGTTTGCTTTCTCACTTTCCCTCTCTCTGTTTCTGTCTCTGTTTCTCTCAGGTGAGTGCATGTGTCCTGTAGCAAATTAAAAAAAAAAAAGATGATAAATAAAAGAAATAATTCTTTTAAAAAATCCTCGCTTTCCTAGATCACATGAAGCAGCTTTAAAGTGTGCTGTGGTGGTCGTCCTTGCTAGTAATGCCCATTATGTGGCATGCAGTGTTGAAGAGTTTCTCTTATGGCAACGCATTGAATTCTCACCTTTTCAGAGAGGCACTACCACTATCCCCATTTTATAGTTAAGGATGCTGAGCCATAAGGAGATTAAGTAACTGTCAAACAAGTCAATAATAATATTTCTTCTAAGCTCATGGATGGCTTTTGACTGTGCAGAAAACCAACAACCACCAAAGGTCAGTTTCTATAAGTCAACATAATTGATAGGAAAGGACCACTTCTAACCACCTCGGGAGGTAAGCAAAGTTCTTCAGTGTCCTAAGCTCCTTGCTTACTTTCCTCTTCCAGAATCACATCCCTAACTTCAGTCTCTTTCCCACACTTAAAATCATGGGATAATGTGATCTGTGATTTATATGCATTGATTTGGGGGGATGGACATAACAAGAGTGCTCTTAAAGCAGAGGCCATAGATAAACAGCAGGGAGAAATGGGGGGTTTGGGAGTAATACCCTGACTTGTGCATGAGGCAGGTCATAGTTAGAACATGGTGCATGCTGGCTGGTACTGATGACAGTCAAGAAACATGGGAAGGGACCCGGCAGCCCTGATCTGTGTGCTCTGGGAAAGAGGTGGGAAAACGGGTGTATAACTGTTACCGGCAGATCCTCCGGAGTTCATGGGCTGTGATTCAAACTCCATCCATCACTTGGTAGTGCCTGATACTGCGGGATGCTGCCTAACAGAGGAGGGGAAGGAAAATGGCTTCACCGACTGGGCTGTGCATTGAATCGGTATAAAGCAGATCAACAGGAGAACACACATGGGAATCCCACGAAAAACAGGAGTCAAAGAAAGACCAGATGATTGACGTTGACATGCCATCCTGGGCTACAGAAAGGAAGAGGGGCCTCTGGGAAGTGGTGGAGACAAGCGAAGGGCGGCTGAGGAGGGGAAGAAAGGGGAAGAAGGCTGCCTTGCTATGCAGATGAAAGTCTGGGCTGAAAACCGTTACCTCCTGGAGGAGCAATGTCTTCCAGATACAAACTTTTACTAGTCTAGATTCCCACTACAGATGTGTTTCTTTTACAAAAGGGCAGCTGTTCAGAGCGACCCCTATGTACAGTTTCCCAGAATATGCAACTCGAAACAGCCACAAGGGTCATTTTGGCGAGGCCTCTTCTGGTCTCCTAGTAATATTTGGGGGTGGTATGTCTTGAGCTCCAGCAATTGCTTTAAGTATCACTTTCTTCTTAAAAAATTATTTATTTAACTTTATTTATTCATTCATTTATTTTTAATTTGATGAGAGAGAGAGAGTGTGAGAGAGAGAGAGTGGGAAAGCAAGCCGTCAGGACTTGAACCATTGTCAGCCATGTGGGAGCATCCAGCATCTTAATCACCATGTCACCCACTGGTCCCACGTCTCTCTTTATTTTAGGAGAATAGTACTTACTCTATGAGTTTGCAGTGAGTACTGATTTAGATAATATATATTCAATCTTTTTTTTTTTTTGCCATAGGCCATGTACACTCACCAGAGAGAGACAGAGAGAAGAAAGTGAGAACAAATCATCCCCCAGAGATGATGGCCATGCCATAAACCCTTTTCCATTCTACAAATCATACCCCAGAGATGATGGCCATACCATAAACCCTTTTCCATTCTCTTTCAAGATTTCAGGCATGCATGCACACGTGCCCCGGTGTGATTTTTCTAGCCTCTTGATGTGGGATTTGAACTGCAGTTGACCATGTGGGAATCCAGTGACTTAATTACCACACTACCTACTGGCTCAGATATATTAAATTTTAAGGACCATGTTTGACAGAAACTTCACAATACAAGGGAAATCTTATTATTATCTTATGGATGTTAAAGAAACTATGTTAGTGACTTTCAGGGTGTGTTTTCTGGCCCATGGCAGATAGCAATATGTGTTGAAAATGCAAACTGATGTCACTTGTAGAAGAAGGGACCGGAATCCAGCCTGACCTGGCTCCTGTTTACGTCGACTTGGTAAGTGCATGGGCTGCTGCTGTGCCAGGGTGGCAATTAATTCCTGGACATGATCCTGAAGATTTTTATCTTTTCTGAACAAATTATAAAACAATCGCACGGAGTGGCCAGCACGCGTGGACTCTGCTCTGCTTGACACTGAGCGCTTTGGTTAGATGACCTAGTTTACCCTCACAACAAACACAGGGTAAATGCCATTTTGTCCTAAGTCACCTTTGCCACCACCCCATTAAGCTCGGTACATGTTTTAACTCATTGAATTGCTACAGTAACCCAGGAGGTGGGGACTTCTAATTACCCTCATTTAACAGAAGTTTATGGAGGTGAGCTGGCTGGCCTGGAATCAGGGGCTACTGGCTGGGGGCGCTGGGGTCTCTGACAGGCGCTCTGCCTCCAGGGCCCTGCTCAGACTGCTGCACTTGTACAGTGCTCACGAACAGAAGCTGTCTGACCTACACTTGTAGATCTGACTCACTGCACCCCAGGGTGGCTGCCAGACAAGGTCAAGTGTGAAAATCCTTTCCAAACCCACTGTCAGGAAAGGCGTGCTCCCCCCAGGACTCAGTGTGCACCTGCTCTGACAGGGAGTGTGTCACCAGCCAGCCTCCCTTTCGGACTGGATTATCTGATGTCCTCGGCCTGGTTCCAGCACTGCAGGGCCTTGGCGGACTGTGTCATGCGTTCGCTTTATGCATGATTTGGATTGTGAACCTTGACTTACAGCTGCTTAATTTATCACGTTTATGCTGCAGCATCAGAAAAGGCATCACGACATTTTCACTGCTGTAGCGATGACATGGGTCTAGAGGGAGATGGGATTTTCATATCGAGAGGTCGAAAGTGCTAAGAAGGTATCTGTTGAGGATGACGCACATGGCGATGTCTGACTTGACTGACATGTGACACGTGTGTGCTTTGAGAAACTATACTGTAGGCTATTAAACGTACAGCGATCTAATTGAAATTACGAAGTTAATGATAGAAAAGGAAGATCTCTTGGAGGAGTCCGACCCGGCGAGGCCCCAGGATCTGGCTGAGCCCCCCGACCTTTGACCTCCGCTTCCGGTCGGATCAACATGTTGGCAAGACCACTGTTGTGTGCCCCCCGACCTTGGAACAAAGCTTGGGTCAATTAGCATGTCAGCAAGGCTGTTTGCTATTTGCTCCAGAAACTGTGGCAGCCTTACTGGGAAGCGACCCCCCTCTGGCTCCCCAATATACTACTATAAAAGAATT